GTTTCATTTGGTGTGTGGGGCTTGCCCCAAGGTTGACAAAGCCCCCCCGCCCCTTTTTTTGTTTTTGGGGGGGGGGGGGGGCGGGTAGACATTGGATTGATGGCTGCATTTTTTTTTTTTTTTACGTTTGTTTGGCTGGCAGGGCGTCGTTCTTTGGAGTGGTTTCTTCGGCCTGTCTCAGGCCTCGTCTTGCGCAACTGCTCTTCGTCAACTAAATACGTGGAGATTGTTTCTCAGCTCGATCCCGCCCCCGCCGCTGCTGCTGCTGCTGCTGGTGTTGTTTTGTTGCCGCAGCCGACGCCGTCCCCTACGACGCAGGCGCCTACCCCCCAGGTGACGCCCCAGCCGTCCACACAGCAACCCATGGGTGCTTCGTCGACTCCGGTCGCTTCCACTCTCGAGCCCTCCTCAAGCGTGGCGGCCGAACCGACGGTGGAACCGACAGCAGAACTGATAGCAGAACCAACGGAAGAACCAACGGAAGAACCAACAGCGGCAGAGTCGACGACGGAGGAACCGACGCCTTCGCCCACCGCAGGTATTGATGACTGGCAGGACCTGGTACACAGCACCCCGCGTCGTTAAGCGTTTGGCGTCTGAGATATGCATACTTGTTTTTTTTTCACACACACGTAACAAATCATCTTTTTTTCCTATTTTAGAAACCTTAGTCCTTGCATGTGCTAGAAGTCTTTTCATCAGTGATTGTTGGGGAAGTTTCATTTCAGTGCATACCACTTTCTGAGAGATCAGGACCTTCACTTGTTCCGACTTGTCGCCCCCCCCCCCCCCCCCACCCCTCAAAACGAAAAAAAACAAACCCCTTTGGAAAAAAAACCTTCCGATTTTTCCCCAATATTATTGAGGTCACGAGGAAGAAACCCCCGCTAGGTGGCCGGCGAGGGCGCCGGCGCGGTCCGAGTCATTGAGACTAACAAGACGATGCTGTTCCACGTACGTCCCCGCAACGCAGCTGGGAATTGAGCAACAGGATGGCTTTCATGCCTATATAGCACATACGGGGCGCGAGTCCAAGGTTTGCACAGCGTGACAACGGCCCATGCCGTCGGCGCACGATACTCACAGAAGGGAAGAGAGCAGCTACAACATATACTCCCCTTGGAACACTACAAAAT